CCTCTGCAGCTTTTAACACAAACCAGCTAAAAACAAACTTGATATGCACTCAGGAATTAGTCTGGTGAGGCTCAAGATTTAGAGTTCACAGTAGTTAACAGGAGTTCATAATAATAATAATAATAATGATTAGATAATACTACTTGACATAATTAGTCTGAATATAAATTTTGACTTTTCAGAAAATGAATTTTGGACAGTGACCAGTGTGATACTTGTCAACAGGGTGAGAGAGATTACTGTTGTAAATGGAAACTGCCTCTGGCACTCTCCAGAATAACAGTACAATGGTCTAATACGCGACTAATACTATTAACAAGCGGAGGAGCAGTAGAGAGGTGAGATGCTGCTGCGGCCTCTCAGAGCACAGAGGAAATGACTCCGAGGCCTGATTCATGGATTGGTCTGGATTATTATTAATACACTGGTTTTTCCTCAGTGAAGTACTATACATTATTTATGATGTAACCAATACAACATTGTTTGTTCTTGCTTTGCATCCAAGTTTTATTTTACATCATCAGATATCAAATGTTCTTGTAGGAAATCAAACCCAGAGTTTTCAGTTTGTGACTGAAAGATAATGTTATGGGGAACAGCTGCTCATAATTCAAATAAATCATAGAACTTGTACCATCACAGAGATTCTGAGATAACAAAACCCTAAAACCTCTGGCACCAAACAGAATCTGAATAACAGGCAGCAACACTGTCGCGTGCTCACAGACTGTATTGTAACATCAAATAAGCTCTTGAAACCTTGAGCACTTAAATCTCTGCAGGAGACACATTTATTTGCTGCTTTACATAAAAGTGAAGCTGTGTGCATACATACAGCTCTGGTACATCTTTTATGGCGATGCCTGCACAACAGCCTTTATTTGTTTTTGTTTTTTTGTTTTCTTGGTTAACTTCAAAAGTTTTTACTGTTTCTTTTTGTGTTATTTATTGAATATCTGTCGAGCACCTGAGTCAATCACTAGCTGAAAATACTGTACAGCAGAGCTCTGTCGTCCTGTCTCCATCTAGTGTTCAGCAGTGAAACTACTCATCGCTCCGTCGAGCCAAACAAATCTATAAAACAAGTTGCATCTTGCCCCATTTGTCAAGAGACAAGAGCAGAGATAACACTTCCTGAGTGAGTGGGGTCAGAGTTTTTAACAAGGATAAAAAAAATCAAAAAAGATCTGATGAATAATGAAATACAAGTTGAAAAAAAGTATAAGAGAGAAAACCTTCAGAAAGATTTAAAGAAGTTTTATTTGTTTCACATCTTGCCAAAGCATTACAAACTAAGAACTAAGAAGAAGAACTAAGATCTAAGTGTAAATCTTTAGCCTGGTACAGTTGGTTATGCAGAGAATGTTTTGAAATCAGTATTATTTTACTTGTAAAATGAACTATAAAAATGTCAAGTCAAAATGGAAAGATTGTGTACTGAGGCAAAAAAATGTAATGTTCCTCCAGGAACAAAGTGATTATCCCTTGTTTATTATGCAGCAGCAAGGTCATAAGTCACTGCCTGAATTGGTCAGTGTTTGTTTCTATATGCTTTTATTTTTTATGTTTGACTTTCAACTGAAAGCATAGATATATGATCACACTATAGATAGTTGACAGTGTAGGAATATACAGGAAGTGTGAGGAGAGACGTCCATGATTGGATTTATGAGGCATAGACATACTACTGTTATTCAGTTCAAATTAAAAGTATATTCTTTTAAATAGGCATTCTTTCAAAATAAAGCTCCGTAGGTGCCTTAACAGGTCGGTGTAATTTAATTTAATGTCCTGCCATATAATGTGTTTGTTTGTACATGTTGCAGGCACACACTGTCACGTTATGTCCTCCGGCTCCTCCACTTCTTTCACCTTCATCAATGAGGTCATATGAGCACAGTGTGTGTGTGTGTGTGTGTCTGTGTGTGCGCCTGCGTACGTGTGCCGGGGGAAGCAGGGGGGGGTGGGCAGAGTATGTAGAGCATCAACATGCACCTTCACTCTGAAGGCTGACTCATCCCCATATATCACGCAAACACACCCTTGTGTCCTGGCATCATTTCTCTCATGTTTGCTTGTTTTCTTTTCCATCAGCCTGGCAGCGGAGGGTGTCGAGGAGGCGGGGCAGTCTGAAAAAAAAGATGCATCACTGACAGGCTCACATGTCGGAGAAGTGAGGTAAATCCTCAGGTGAGTCACAACTGAACATAAAAAAAGTTGACCCGTAAACACTTTCTCACAAACTGACACGTGTTCTGTTGAGTACATTTTAGAGCATTTCAGAGCCGACACTAATAGCTATTTTCAATATTGATAAATCTGGAGATTATTTTCTTGCTTAATTAATTACGATCATTTTGTCCACGAAATATCAGAAATTCAGTTTCCCATAGGCGAAGGTGCAGTCTGAAGATCCGAGTAGTGGTTCAAACCCAGAATGATATACAGTTTAATGTCATATTGAAAATCAGAATGTAACAAATCCTCACTTTTCTGAAACCAGATGAGCTCATTAAATCTGTGATGATTGAGACACTGATTAATCATTTCATCACTATTTCACAGGGCAGCAGTTTTCTTATGCAGTATTCACTGTAAATATGTAGCTGCATATGTTAGCACAACTGCTAACACTGTGTCAGCCACTGTCAGTTACAAGCTAACAAAAAACATAATCAAGCAAAAGTCCGTTCTGATACGTCAGCTAAACGCTGATTTTGATCACAACAGACTCCTCATCTGAATCTGGGTCTGACAGAGGCTCAAACATGTGGCTGACTCTCTCTGATGTTTCCCCCCATCTTGATACTCTCTGCTCTTTCACCTGTCAACCTGGAGCAAGCAGCGGTGGTGGGCGGGGCACAAGGCCTGATCCAGTAGTAGATGAACTTCAGCCCCAATTTTCCTTTTTTCAGTTTTTATGTGAGAGAATCATGTTAAACAACATATTAATCATAGCAGGGTGTTTATACATAGTTTGAAACATGTCTGGAGAGGAACTTCAACAGCGAAACTACTACAGAATCTTTTCTACACGGCCATTCAGTTGGTTGTTTTGTGAGGCAACAAAGAGCTTTTTGCACTTTTATTTACCTGATGTGGGGATTTTTCTGTCTGAAATAAACCAGCAACAACAGCGAGAAACCAATGTAGTCTGAGTGGAACTGCAGGGTACTGTCAGCCCACTTTCACTCTGGAGTCTCTTTGAGGAGCCAGACAAGTAGATAAACTGGCTGTAGTGAGTGGAGATCTGCTTTTGTGCCAAAAAGGGAGGAGAGAGAGACATGCCGTCACTGAGTGCTGTCAGCCACACTCGTCTCTCGCTGGTGAGTCAAGGTTTTCCAGTGATTCATGTCTGAGCAGAAGCTGAACGATGGGCTCCGAGTGTAGTCTCTCTCCTCCTTTTTCTTACCACCTCTATCCTCCTCTTCCTATTATTTCACTCCTCCTCTCCATTCATCTCTTTGTGTCTGTGTTCCCTTTCCTTCCTGTCTGCTAATTGTTGTTGTACCACACCATTTATTTCTCCACTAAGCCTGCAGTACTTCTCCCCGGGCCAGCTCTTTTCAGCAGCATCTCGAGGCCCTTGTTGGGAGACCTCCAGGATGTTCAAAACACTCACACACACACCCAATTCCACCTGCGGGCCAGTGCAGCCCGGCAGGGGATTTCACCGCACTGATGACGGGGCACACTCTTCCTTCCTGAGCCCACATAAATCTGTCGATGGGCTCCGTCCTATGGTCTGATATTAAAGCTGTTTTCCATGACATGCTCCTGCGCAGCGGGGGGTGAGGGGGCGGCCGCAGGGGGTGGGCTGTTGTTGACTATCCTGAGGTGGTAGGGCTGGGGGGAGAGTTGTGGTTAGAATTTACTTGTCTTGGTGGCATAAAGACCAACTTACCTGCCACTGGTTATGATCTCACTTGCTGTTGTTGCAGATGAGTAGTTTTGAGCAAAATGTACAGTAACTCTGTGCAGAAAGGAAAACATCCAGAGAAATAGTGTACAAGATGCAATTGTATTGCACATAATAAAAACCCTCTCAGTGTTGTCCTTCTAGCTGTCTCCTCGTTTATTTTGCTTTGTGTAAAATAGCACCTTGACTTTTCTTCTCCCAGAAAAATGACAAGAATGGACTTGTAAGGACATTTTTCGAATGAGTTAAGGACCTCTGTCATCTCAGGCTCAGAATAGTAGAGGCTACTGACCTCAGGCTATAATCAAGCACAGAGACACACACACACACACACACACACACACACACACACACTCACAGACGTGCATGCTCGCACTCGGACACACACATTTGTATAGTAAAGCGTTATTGTCACATACATACAACATAACAGGAATCATGTCATTTTAACATTTAATTCTGAGGTTTACAAATTGATGTACAAACTCTTTACAATTTTACAAACAGCTTTGACTTTTTATGCAACAGAGAATAAATACATTAACAAGTGTTGATCTTCGGGTCAAATCTTTATCACATTTCCTTAAGTTGCACTTTACACTACTCGAAAGAAAACATAGTGTAAGAACAAGTTACCTAACAGTATAGTACATATGCAGGCTGTCTCGTCTTGTGTTCATGTTTCTTTTGAATATCACACATTTAGTAATGTAGCATAATGTCCAATGAGTCAGCTTTAGCAGAAACAGATGACAGTTTAACTAGGGCACAGTTGTGTGGGTTGATTATCTACAGCAGAAAGTAGAACATTCTTTAAGTTTAACATTTTGAAATGCAATAACAAAATACATTTCCTAATATTTACAACATTCTGCAGTCTGGGTTGCCATTGCACTTTCATTTATATCTGTCAGTTACATTGAGAGGACTCTGCTCTGCAGTAAGAGAGTGTTGTTGTAATACTGAAGTGGTTGCAACAGCAGAAACACAAAAACCTCACATCACTTTTCTCCCTGAGATTATTTAACAGTCCACTGGCGTTCTCAGTTTTCTTCAGGGCTCACAGTGGTTGGTGTAGCTGTTACAGTATGTCAGAGCACAGAGAGAGGCCGTGCTCCGACTCCTGCTTGTAGCTCACCTGCCACGGAAGCCCCAGAGCTGGAGGAGGCTCCACAAACGTGTCCATGTATCCTTGAGTACAGGAGGCCCACAACCCTGGCTGGTACCCCAACCCCTCACCCACCTGAGGGTATCGCAGAGGACTGGGAGGATGGTTGGGGGGGCTGCTGCAGTGTCCATGTGAGGCATAGAGCTGTCCCTCCGTGGAATAACAAGGGTAGTGTGGCGACGGGGGGCATGACGAGACGGTGTTATCCATGTATACGTGTGGCTCTGTGGGCAGCCTGTGCATGTGAGGCCCCTGTTGTGGCTGCATCTGATGAGAGATGGATGCGTTCCAGGGGATGTAACTCTGATGCTCCAGGCGGGGAACCATTACCCTGGTCTGCTCGAGTCGAGATGTTCCCATCGCAGCTGGCCCTGCTGATACCCTGTTGCACTCCCGGTGGGTGCAGGGTTTGCTGGGAGGGTTGGAGTTCAGGAACACAGAGAGAGCGGAGATGCGGTTTATGGCCCTCTGCAGGGTGGCGATCTTGGAGAGCCGTTTGCCACTGAGGTCATGGTTCAGAGCAACACGCAGGGCGTTGAAGGCCTGGTTGTAGTCCATGATGCGTTTCCGCTCGCGTACATTGGCAGCCATTCGTCGAGCTTTTGAGCGGACTGGCCGATTGCGCTTCTTGGTCAGGCCCTCCTCTGGGTCGCTGGGGCTGCTGGTTGAGCACTCACTGTCTTGGAAAGATGCCTTGGGACTTCCCTCGTCCTCCTCTTGGCCCAGCAGACCAAGCTCCAGCTCTTCCTCAGAGAACTCTGAACCTTCAACACTGCTGCAGCTCATTATGTCAACAACGTTTAGACTAGACGAGTCTGAGTCGAATCTTGCTACTCTGCTGTTTGCAGGCTGCGCGCGCTCCCTGAGTATTTGCTGTTGTGGGGCTGTCGGTATTTGCTGCTTTGCCGACAGCCCAGGTATTCTCCTCCTCTGACTCCTCTGGTGCCTTGTGATTACTTGTACCTTGACAAGACAGGTTGGCCTGCTTTTAAAAGCTCTTGAAGTCACATGGTACAGTCACCTGTGAGGAATGGTGCACTCTCTCTCCCTCTGCAGGTTTATGGGTGCCCTCCAGGCAAATGGCACTGTCACCTCCTCCTCCTCCTCCTACCCTGACTCTCCCTCACATCCCTCACAGGATCTTACAGAACAGTTTCAACACTTCACATCAGTGTCAAAACATGAGCAAAACATACTAATTATTCCAAAATAGCAGTTAACTATACGCTTCCTTTAACACTTTAATAGTGGATTGGATTCAATGCTTATATAATCCCCAACTCAAGTTAGGTCTGTTGCTACTGACTGCAGAGTAACTGTGAACTGTAGAGTTTAGGAAAGCTAGAGTCAGTTACCGCTAATATCACTTGGTCATTTTGTATCATGCCAGACTGAATGATCACCAACATGATTATTTCTTTCCCTGCACCATATGTGCATCTCTTTCTTTTTACTATCATTGGCAATGAAGGGATATTCATCCAAATCAGTGTTTCATGACTGTCTCCATGTCTCAGGGACATTTGTGACAAATTGCACATTCATCCAAGTAGCCTAATCTGTTAGATGCATTTCCCCTTTTCTCAGCTCCAGGAAGAGAGGAACCTTCTTATCTACCGTAGGTTAGATTTGTCCTTGCAATTAGCTGTCTCTGGAGTGGCGATTCTCTCTCTCTCTCTCTCTCTCTCTCTGTCTGTCTCTCTCCTTGCTCAGGTTTAAGGGCCATGTAATTTAGAGTAGCTTCCCTGGAACCCATCCCCATAAATCAGGCCTGGGCAGCACCTGAGGACAAGAGTAGAGCGAGCCCTAGACTTCAAAGAGAGGGAAAAAACAAGGGCAAATATTTTACAATTAGAACCTGCAATTGCTGCTGGCTTGGGCTATCGATCTTTCATAGTCTTTTGCTAGTGAAGATGTGGTTACATTTTTATGAAATTTTTAGTACTGAAATGGTTTAAAATAGTTTTTTTTATCAATTTTCCTGTGAGGTGATGTCATTTTCTAAACAAATGCAAACTAGAAACAGACTATAAATACACTATCTTATGTCTTCTTTACACTTCATAGTCCTCTTGAGACAAACTGGTCTTGAATTGAACACTGGAATGGGGGAAAGACCTGCATCCATGTGAAAGATCTGTGTGTCAGATATTGTGGAGGTGGACAGTGAAAGGTGATTGAACTGACCTTTAGCAAGGCTTCTGGCCAAGTGCAACGGGTCAGGTAAGTAAAGGTTAGGGCCTCAGACGCTGAACTGGGGGTCGTTGAGAAGCATTGCTTCCTTCCTGCCCTTTCTTTTTATTATGTGTGCTGCGGCTCTGAGACGCCAACTTTTAAAACAATTACAGAGTTTCAGTTCTAAAAGCACAGCTAATGATTTGAGGCGGGAACATTCAGTCTGGCCTTTTTACTGCTGTGTCCAGGAGATCACCACAGACTTGAATTATTCCCTCGTTATTCATCACAGGTTTCTTATTTGATTTTGCACTTATTATTATTGCAACAAATTTAGTGTAAGATTTAACAGATTTCCAAGATTTGCAGAATATTCTCTATTACACTCACATACCACACTATGCTTATGTTTCATGAATTTAAAACTTCCAACCACCAGTAAATCCACTAAGATTTTTTTGAGCTTTGATTAATTAATGAATTACTACAATTTCAAATGGTAGTTAATGTTCGAAAGCTCCAGTTCTAACCTGAATATGACATCTGAGCAGGGCGACATACAGTTTGTCTGTTTTTTTACTCAATATTTCTGAATGACAGGAGTAAGCCCAGATGACACAACAAAATTCTTCTCATTTTTTGTGTTGCACAACAAAATGTGTCCAAACCTTTGCATTTGTATTTGTCTTATAGTGTTAAAGTTAAAGCCGCACCAACAGTTGAACCTAAACGACGATGTCTTGTTCTGCGATGGTCCGTTCCAGTGAAGCTGTAAAACAACCCACTTAAACCACTTTATTTACCACACCTTTTAAATAACCCTGCTGATCTACTGCAAACCTTTATAGCTAAAAGTATTTGAAATGTTCTGCCCACAGCAGTGCGTAGGCTGTATCACAAGCTGTGATTTATGGCTTCACAAACATGTCAGATTTACTGCTGTGGTGTAAAGAGCATGAAGACTACAGCCTCGGATTCTCCCCGTCCATTCATTTTTTGACAGGTGACAAGACACCAGTAATTATCAGCCGCCGGGAATAAATCACAAGATTTTATCACGCAGCTCGCCGTGCCCTTTATGGAATAACCATTTTCAAGCAAGGGGAACCTGTCCAACGCCGCTGAACCTTAGATTTGTAAATCTCCTGCTCAAGCCCCCATAATGACCGGTTGTTAGCCGTTTGTTATTAGAGGTCTGTGTGCCAAACATTATAGATGTATATTTCCAAAGGGGTAGTTAGGGGTAATAAGTGAGTAAGGTCCAGGTTCGCTAACCTTGGCTTTGCAGTGGTATGTTAATGCATGTTTTTGGTGTCTGCCATGGAATTTTCTCACCTCAATAAAAAACCTCCAGTCAAAAAAGAAAAGAAAAAAAAAAAGAGAGAGAAAGAAAGGGTTGCGGTTATCTCTGCCCCTCCACTATTTGTCACACCACAATCCCTTGGGAATAGTTAATGTCTGTAAAAATCAATGTTATCAACTGTAAACTGCCAGTCTGTGGTCATTCCATGGCAGTTATGTTATTTGTCACACTCTAATCTCTTTTATTGCAAAAACACTGCATTGCTTCCTCAGTCTAGGGAGGAATTTACATGGAAACTTAAAACTTATTTAAACACTCAAAATGATTTATGTTTGAGTGAAAATGATGTTGTTATGATCAGTTTTGTTTTGGTGAAAGGATAACTCATCAAAGGCAGTGCTGGAGGAAGTATTCATTTTTCTTTTTACCTAACTAAAAGCAGCAATATCACTTTGGAAAACTACTCTCCTGAATTCAAATGTTTTCTTCAAGTGGTGTCAGAAAAATGTCCTTAAAGTAACCAAATGGGCAGAAAGTTATGTACTGTCAAAGTTGTGTATTGTAGTAATTATTCTATAATTGGAATATTATTACTGCTACATTAACATGTAAACTGCATTTGAGTGTCACAGCTGGTTGAGATGCTAATTTCAATTATTTTTTATCTTGAATCCATAGCGATGCATCATATTTTACACGTTTATCATATTTTACAAAAAAATGAAAAGTACAAGTAGCCTACCTCAAAATTGTAGTTAAATACAGTTGAATGTTAAGTATGGTACTCAGTTACTTTGCACCACTAATCTAATGCAAAATTAGCATGTATCCTCTGTTTCTGATCATCAGATCTCTGTCCATTTTAATTTTTTTTTTTTTTTTATCTTTGCTGCCTGTCATGGTGACAGGCAGGCATGATTTTATCAGAGAACCACCAGTGAAAGAGCTTATCAGGCCTCCCTGAGTCCCACTTTCCTCTGCGATGAACAAGACGTGAAGTTTTGAAGAACCATTTGAAAAAAAAAAAGAAATAAATCAAGTTGTCATATTGATCAGAGCTGTAGTCAGTCTTAGTCTGAGCTGTTGTAATCATCTGTCAGCACTGAGTGAAACACACTTCTTGAATGTTTGGTGACATGGTGAGAGAGTGTCTGCCTCACAGATCCCATCCAGCGTGTTAAAAACCAAACATGCTAACAGCAAAGCTCCTGACACAACTAAGTGTGAATCACTCTGTCTGAAATTACTGGCAGTTACGTGCAGTTGGCTGCTGTAATCCCTCTCAGAGTGCACAGCGGCTATAAAATCTCAGTTGTCGGGTTGAAACAATGCCCCCGGTATTTCAGCGCCCACACCCCGGCATCGAAAGTGTTGTTCACAGAATATCTGTCACAGTGTTGGCCATTAATCACAGAGGTGTGCTGAGGTTTATTGTGCACAATTAGAGATGTTTCCAGAGTGTTGTGACTTATGTGGGAAAAAGAAATTGTCAAATAGATGGTTATTTATAAAGAAAAGGACATCTTGATTAAAGTGTATAAATATGTTGCCATCATCTTTCATCAAGCAGTTAATCATCAGGATACATTTTGCCAGAAAAAGACACAATTGAACATCTTTAATTCATTTTTTTTAAATTCAGATTAATTAATGTGATTTAGTTTGGAGTCTACATGTTTAATGTGAACCCTGCCTTTATAGTAATATTGATTTTTGTTTCAGACGGGTCATAAAGGCAGGCTGGTTGCCATGTAGAGAAAAACAACACTTAATGTTTGGGTCACTAAAATCCTGTACTCTCTAATTTAGCCATAAGCAGAACATTACTATAACCTCAACTCTTAGTGATTTATACCTTGTAAGAAAAACCATGCAAATCTGTCAGTACTGATGTCATGACATGTCTAACAGTTTCCTCCACACAGGAATGTCAGTACACTTCCTCCCCTGCCCTAAACACTTGAATCACGGTATGAATCAGTCTTTTTACGGGATAACATTTACCGTAGGATGATATGAACTGAAAACTGCAGACACTGCTGGAAAAGACGTGCGCAGGGCAGTGGGCAGGCATTAAGCTTGTTCACTTAAATCATATTTTATTTATGTGCCATGCAAAATGCTGAGGTTTAATGTATGCAGTTTTCTGCACATGACAAAAAATTTGACAGAAAAAAAGAAAAATCCAAATAGGCAGCGGCGTATGTTCATAGTGCATTCCTTCCAAAGACAAGTCAGTCATTACTCTGGGTTATCATTAAAGGGTCCATTTTCAGTGTTGGAACATGTGGTCAAGGTTAACTATCTG